CACCATCTTCATCGTCATCATACATTGGATCAGTTGATGATGTACTTAAGGAATAAGGAATGATAAGGATCATCATCATCGTCATCATACATTGGATCGGTTGAGGATGTACTTAAGGAGCAAGGAATGATAAGGATCATCATCATCATCATCTTCACCATACATTGGATCAGTTGAGGATGTACTTAAGGAATAAGTCGTCATCATCATCATCACAGCAGCTTGAATCGGAAAATGTCACAACAAAGAGCTGCACTGAGCGGTCCTGCAGCCAGTTTAGTGCACTGAAGCCATGAGAGGTCCCAAACCTGACATGGACAAAAATCTCGCCCCCAGTGGGTGCGGCCCTCCTGCTACAATTTTGACGATCCTGATGATCAATGTAACAAAATACACAAGATAAACGTATAAAGTATGTGTTCTTTGTCTTTCGGGCAGTCACGGTATGAATGAAAGGTATGGAAACCCAACAGGAACAAATCTGGTGGTTTTCACCCAGGTTTTGGGATCTCAGGCTCCTGCTCGACGATGGTGCGGGGGCCTTGGGAGCAAGGTGGCAGCTGATTGACTTCTTTGAAAATTCAAAAACTGGTGATATATCCGCTATGTTAAACTCCCAGATCATAAACTTCTGAAAACTCCTTCAAACTGCCTGAAACCCATCAAAATCCTTAAAACTTTTAAGCCCAAACTCCTTAAACTCCACAATTCATAAAGGCTATGTCTTTCAAAGGTGAGCTGACACTCCAGGGCTGAACTTGGCTCCCGCGGCGGACTGTGCGGACGATGCCGTACAACAGCAGGGCCTCGTCGTCCTGGCGCAGCAGCCGAAGACGTCAAGGGCTGGGTCCAGCTGGGTCAATGGGTGGACGTTCACCTCCAATAAATGGAGGCCAGCTCCATAGGAAAATCATGGAACATCATCTATGGGGAATGTTAGGAAGGAATGTTCCATTGCCATGTTTGATTACCGGATGCTAGATATGTGTGGTTCATGTTTATTAAAACAACTTAGCTAACTATGATCTGAATAAATTGTAGAATGTAGAAAATCACAAACCTGAAACACTTTGGGGGATGACCATATGGCCTTTGGGGGATGACCATATGGCCTTTGGGGGATGACCATTGGATGGCCCCCCCCGCTTAGAGTTCCCATCATTTCAGCACTTGAACCAGGACGCCCCACAGTTCGATGGTTGAAGTGGTGGGCCCAGTAGGACCAAAAGTTGGGGCCATACAGGTCGACATTTCAAGCATCTTTTTGGTACTGAAATGTCGACCTACCCTTCAGGAGAAATCCCAGCATGGTACTACAACAGGTCGACATTCCATATTGGAATCCAGATTTGAGGTTTTCTTGGAGAAGAATCGAGCCACTGAATGTCCTCACTTCAGTTTTCTGCTTCCCGATGGCCTTGATACCCTTTGGTAATCAGCTCCATGGCTGGAAAATCCCCAAGCTATGGCAGATATGGTTCGATGATTTTCCCATCTCAGGATTTTCAATTGCAAACAGGCTATGCCCTCTCCTGCACGGGCCCCAGTCGCGGCTGGTTGTCGCGATGCAGGTGCGTCCTAGGGCGTTTGGATACAGTTGGTAGGCTTAGGGTGCAATGGTTTCACTGAAAAAATGGTGGGTCATAGATATAAATCCCTTGGTTGTTAGTTGTTGTTTAAGCAAACTCATCTATATATCTATATATTTATATAGATTATCTGATGATTATAATGGTTCTTGGCAAAGCAAAACGACGTAAATATTAATTACATACACTGTGGGCCAGAAATATAGGTCATGAACGTTATGAAACTACCTTTCTATTCTTCAACTGGCTGTTTAGCCATCGGCCATCTGCTACTGGTAATGGTTGGTAATCATAGATGGTCACCAAGGCGGGTGAGCTGGTTTAGTTAGGATGCTAGGCTTAAACGCCCCTGACTCTAAAGTGGTACTGATGGTGGCTCACACAGGCGCTGACATACACGTTCCAAGCTTGTCCAAGTTATACAGTATATTCCAAGTTCACCAATTCTGGCAATGACATAAATCTAACGACACTACTGTATATAACGCGCCAGTGACAGTGACCATTTCCAAACAGATGACTAAGCCATGTGGGGGCTGCTAATGGCTGCTACCCCTAACTAATTCTACTAAACATAGTCTTTGGTGAGGTCGTTGTCAGGTTCCTTCATGTCAAAACATGATCAATCATGTCAATAAATATTCTCGCATCTCGATGACGTTGGGTTCAGCTATATGCCTCCTCTGGGTGTGATATTGGGTGCTCGAGTTGAAGGGGGTAAAATCATCTCCACCAGCATTGTTCATCATCAAATACCCTGCCCAAACTCAATTCTTAGCTTGTCTTAGCTGGCTATGGCTAATCAAGCTCGCTCTGACCTTCATCCTTCACTTGAACCATTTCCTCCACCATGCTGTGCCACCACGCAAGTCATAATGAGAGGCGGTGGAGGGTCGGAACTCCAAATCCCTGGCAATGGTTCTTGCCACCCCTTGCCCTCATGTCATATCCCTGATGCGACAAACTAAAAACATCCCTAATTAAAACCTTTGGTGATGTCTCTTGGGGCCCAATCATGTGTATCATGCCCTCGAGCTTTCGCAACTGGCCCTGACTTCTTGTGCTACCGGCTGTATCAAATCAACTCCAACTTTCAGACCAACAAATGACTCAATGGACTGGAAGGCATTGTTTTACCGCCATCGTTTTACCCATACAGAGGTTTCCTGCACATGTTCCCATCATCCAGTAGTTGTAAAAATCAAAAAACCACCTGGACTACAACCAATCCAAGATTGAAAATTCGGCATTTATAGATTCTATTCCCATTGAAACCTCCATTTACTTCGCGGATTTTGGGATTGTGACCCTAAAATCATCGTGAAAACCCAGGTGCCGGCCATCTCTGTCGCTGTCACCAAGGTACGCAACACGTTTCTGCGTCAAACTGCAGCAACGTTCAAAGGTGAAGGAGGAATCCCAACCTTCGCACGATGGGAGATGCGTTCCTTGTTGCATTTTGCACGGTTGTTTTATAACTAAGGCATCATATGCATGTGAGCAAAAATATTTGATGATATTTGCGTATGCAAAAAAATATGTTATGACAGTAATATATACATACATACAATACCATACCATACCATACCATACCATACAGAGGGCCGGTATGGTTCAATACCCGGGTGCGACACTTGGTGGACAGGCGGACCACTAATTGACCCCTGCAGTTAAGGGGATGAGCTAGGGTGCGGTCCGTAAAACCACTCCATACCATGCCATGCCATGCCATACCATTATATTACATTACATTACATCACATACATAGATACATACATACATCCATGCATCCATGCTTCCATGCTTCCATGCATCCATGCATCCATGCATCCATCCATGCATCCATCCGTCCATCCATCCATCTATCTATCTATCTATGACTGTATGGCATATGTATAATTATATACATGTTGTTTCTTTGTGTGTGTGCGTGTCTCTACGTGGCAGGGTGTGCCTGTGCTTCTATGACAACCTTTGCATGCATGTGCCAGCCAGTTTATCTCTGTATCTCTGTATCTCTGTATCTCTGTATCTCTCTCTCTCTCTCTCTGTTGATCAATATACCCAAATATGCCCCTAATTCAGTAGTCATTTCCGGGACCTGAACTGGAGGTGCCGACAATATACAAAGGCCTAAGGGCTATGTAAAGGAATATCCCCATGGCCTTGTACGGTACAGTAGCTCCATTTTAGGGTCCTGAACTTCCCACTGACTTTTGATGGCTTCCAAGCATCATGGCCATTCGGTGTTCCCGGTCCACCCCGGAATCCCCTTTTTCGATGCGTTCATCATCCGCTGGGAAACTCGTAGCAGGACACACACCCTAAGTGAAGATACAAGCTACAGTGTAAAATACGACACCCATTTCCCCAAGCGGTGGCTATTATTTACTATATAATATCCGGATTAACTACTTGTTTTTACAATTCACCCGTCTGAAATAGTTGCCCCGATCCAATTCCTAATCCACGTCCCATCATTCCACATCCGTCATGGTGATTTTTCCTGGTTTTTCTTGGAACTCACCACTGATGTAAACCAAACATCAGCCAACATCAACCAAACGAGTCAGCCAGGTTTTTGGGCCACCGGTTTTTGCCACCAACCAACATCAAAACCACCAGCATCCACCGCCGAGTGGCATCCCTCGGCTTCCTCCTTGCAGCAACGTTGGAAGGTGAAACCCGAACGCCTCGGCAAGTGGAGCGATGGCCGTCAGAAACTGGAGGTATACCATGCTCGAAGTCTAAAAGGTGGAGAGAATATAATGGCATATTTCCTGGGTAGATCTGGGTAGAACCCGGCAAAAGTGACCTGCACAAAAAGTGGTGTTGGTTCATTTGTTGGGTTATAAGAACCACCAACGACCACATCTAAGGGCGAGTCTTACAAACGGTTTTTGCCAACAAGAATGGTGATTCCGGCAAAGCCCCCAACCGACTCTTGCACATTGCCATCTCGATCCATATTGCAGTTCTTTTTCTCAAGTCAGACAACCAGGGAACGGGAAGCAACTCAAGCAACCATCCTTTCAGTCAAATGGTTCGTTCTATCTAATCCCCTTCCCCTATAATTAAAAACCTTGCCGAAATCATCGTCTAGCCGGGGGATTCACAATGATTTACACATATTTGGCACTATTTAGCGTATGTTTGGTATTAGGAGGATGGGATTATATTCCGTTTATTCTGGTTGAGTGCCTATGTTCCATCATGTTTCATGGATAAATCCCTTTAAACCCTATGTTCTCCCATGTTTGTCGCTTCTTCCCAATCATTAACCATCATCCACCATGACCCCCCCCGCGCTGCACAGCGTAGTTTTGCGGCTGCGCGCAGCAGCTGCTGGCGTTCAGCCAGGTATTCGCCTGGGTGGACTCTAAGGGCCGAGGGATATCAATCTTTCACTGTCGTTCATGTTGGAAAATATGTAGAACTGTGGGGCCTATTTAATATTTATCGAACATGCCCAAATAATATAATATGTGTGTTTATGGATGTTCATGGCTTGCATCAAGACGGAGACACAATAATCACAATATAGTTGCATAGTGTTACATAGACATACGGGCATGTGAGTATTCACCAAAGATCTCTGAGACGTTCCAAAACATGGAGCAAGTCGGAAATCACTGGGATCCAAAAGCTGAGCATCGAAAAATCCTCATTGGGATTCTCTGGGCCTTGGGCAATACGTGCGCGCCCTTATCATCCATAATTCAAACCTATCCAAAGACTGGTTTCTTCATTCTGGCTTCGCATTGCCACGGCACCAACTTCCCAACTTCTACGGCCTTGTCACCTTGTCCAAGCTTGAGTTTCTTGACCCTACTGGTTGATCATCATTCTCCCCAGAAACAATTGCCATAAAAGTCATCAAAGTATGTGCCATCTTTGGATGCACCCTGTATGTGATTACTGAATAAAGCCGGGATCACCGCCCGCACTGCTATGTGGTCATGTTCCAAATCCCATAATTTCCATCTACTGTATCAAGATCTGTACGGCTACCTAGCTAGATGCGTTAAAAATCATAGTAACAAAGTGATATAAAGTGTAGTAAACGTCTCGCATCCCCATCTTGTTTGAGATGACCCCTCGGATGGAGGTGATCCCATACCGATCAACATGATCAACTCCAGAAAACGAGTCGAAAAAAATCCTCCAGCGGAGACGCAGAGATCAGAAAGGCTGCCATCCGCAAGCAGAACATCCAATGGAACTTCCTCTTGGCCGCCCAACCTCGGGAATCCACCACCCACCGCTGGGCCATTGAGGGACTGGAGGAACGGGGTGGTGCAAAACCAGCCACTTAAGCTCCCGAGATCTTTGGAGAGCCAGGTTGGATCATCTACTGTATCTTTTATATGAAGTTTTCAGGCATCAAGCCTTCCAATCTCTGACCGAGATACACGTCTTGCGACAACCTCACAGGCAGGCATGGGAAAAGCTCCCTTGAACATACCGCATGCCAGGGCCCAAGATATGTATTCTGGGCTATTTTTTGCAACTCTCTGTAAGGAATGTTCACAGAAGTATGGCCAAAAACATGCACAAAACAAGTCAAAAATTCCATCAGATTCAAACCTATCAACTCTCGCAAACATCACCTGTTTATCTGTTTACCTCTCTCTCTCTCTCTGTCGGGCGTGACTGCCGTCCCATGAGGACTTTCCAAATCCAAATAACACTGCGATGCAAGCCAATTGCTTGCACAGCTGAAAAGCCCTGGCAATCTAGCTGTGATGTAATGGTGTAGGTAATCAAACATGGCTGGATGGGAAATCCACGAACAAAATGGGAGATTTTCCGGCAAGCCATGGAGCTGACTACCACAAGGTAATTTGGTTTGAATTAGTTTTAGATGTGTATACTGTATATATATATGATTATATTATCATATCTCTCTCTCTCTCATATGTTTGTTGGTTTAAATATAAACCCACCCAACCATAGTTAGAATCACCACAAGCCCCAAACGTTGGATCAGTTCTCCCCCAGTCCAACAGCCAGTTCTCCCAGCCTATCAGCCAGCGGTGCGGCAGAGACCGAGTCCACCTGAAAGGCTCAGTCAAGATTCCTGAAAATACGACCAAAAAAAGAAAATTAGCGGATGGCAAATTTAACAATAATCCAATATTTTTTTGGAAAATTGATTTTTGTTCATTGATTTGCATTGTACATTTGATTGTTTCTTTTTCCAATTGTTAATTTGAAATTTGCCGAACAGCCCATTAATCCACAATTTGCCCAAAGTCTTTGCAGGTTCTTCGCCCATTCTTGCTGGGTGAAGGCTCGCTTGCACCCACAGAAACGTCTCACTTGCGCCCAGGTTGACATGACCACATCAGGAACATGGTACTGTACAATGTTTCAACCACTTAGTAAATGCGATTTAGGGTCTTAACTTTAGAGACTTTCGGGGACTTGGGGAAGACTTGGGGGATCTTGGGGTTCTGGGGCATCAGGGATCCCACATGATACGCATTTAGGCCCCCTGCAAATCTTCGAAATTCCGGTGGTCCTCCCAATTTGGAGGAACACCCCGCGGATCGTAACTGATTAATGTTCACGTGCCATTAATATACCCCTCTAAACAAAGTACGCCAAATCCCGGAAAAAATAGTAAACCCTTCCCCGTAATGAAGTACGCCAACCGATTTTGGTGACGTTTTTTTTAAATGGGTGTTCTTTCGTTTTTTGGTTGCGTCGTGTTTTCCCATTTTTCTCAATTGTTTTTCATTGTTTATGTTCATTTTTTCTTTTCTTTAATATTCAATATGACCTCAAGAATTACTTATGTAATAAAATTTAAATCCCAGAAGATCTGAATTGATCATAATTGATCGATTTCTTTATACAACCATTGAAAAAAATTACTTTACTTCGTGTGATCCCCACCATGACAATTATACAGTTTCTTACTGGCAAATCTTCTGGCATTCTATCTGACATATCTTCTGACATTCTATTTGGCATTCTATCTGGCATATCTTCTGGCATATATTCTGGCATATCTTCTGGCATATCTTCTGGCATTCTATCTGGCAAATCTTCTGGCATTCTATCTGGCATATCTTCTGGCACTCTATCTGACATATCTTCTGGCATTCAATCTGGCATTCTATCTGGCATATCTTCTGGCATATATTCTGACATATCTTCTGGCATTCTATCTGACATATCTTCTGGCACATATTCTGACATATCTTCTGGCATATCTTCTGGCATATCTTCTGGCATATCTTCTGACATATCTATCTGGCATATCTTCTGGCATATTTTCTGGCATTCTATCTGGAAAATCTTCTGGCATTCTATCTGGCATTCTATCTGGCATATCTTCTGGCATATATTCTGACATATCTTCTGGCATTCTATCTGGCATTCTATTTGGCATTCTATCTGGCATATCTTCTGGCATATCTTCTGACATTCTTTCTGGCATTCTTTCTAACTTTCTTCTGCAGATTCTTTGTCCCATATCTTCCTACATGAGGTCCGGCAGGGAACACTTGGCGTGGATACTCGCAGATGAGGTCCGGCAGGGAACACTGGGCGTGGATGGTCGTGGTTGAGGTCCGGCAGGGAACACTGGGCGTGGATGGTCGTGGTTGAGGTCCGGCAGAGAACACTGTGGATCGCGGGTCGCAGTTGGACGAGGACGACGAGGACGACGAGGACGACAAGGACGACAAGGATGACAAGGAGGACGAGGAGGAGAGGAGGAGAGGAGGAGGAGGAGGACGAGGCAGGAGGCAGGAGGAGGCAGGAGGAGGCAACTGACATAAAATCTAACAACCCTCACCTGGCAGGTGGGGAATCAACAAAACATCAAAATAATAACCAATGATCTCACCCCCTAAATCAAGTATGTGAATCTCAAGGGCCTAAATTTTGGTGCCAAAATTCATGTCTCAATTCCCTTCCTATTTCAAATCTTTTTAAAAATAAGAATCGTTACTCCATGAACCAAATACTTTGTTTCGAGGGTCCGCCTACATATGTATTTTATCTTCAATTAGGCAATTTTAGGGAATACTAAAATGAAAAACATCCACTTACAGTATGTATTTGTTTTCAATTTGGTAATTCATTCAGCAAAACTAGAGTGAAAAAGAAAAAGTCCGCTTATGTATTCGTTTTAAATTAGGCAATTCATTCAGGAATGCTGAATGCTAAAATGAAAGAAAAAGTTAACTAACTTATGTATTCGTTTTTCATCAATTAGACACCTCATTCGGGAATACCAAACTTAAAAAAGAAAGACAACACTTATGTATTCTTTTTCAATTAAGCCATTTGTTGTGCGAGCGGACGCTTTTTGCGTCTTGCACGCGCCAAATTGGGCCAATGGGCTTTGCCATTGGGAAGGGCTATGTGCAGCCGCGCCGTTCACCGCGGGAGGCGACTGTCCGCTGGGCTTTCGTGCCCTGGCCGCGGCGGGGGCTCTTCGTCCACGCCGGTCGCGGCCGCAGCAGGGAGCTCGAGGAGAGTCCCGGCCAAGTCATTTGCGAGGACTTCGATCTAGCGGGCATCGGTGACCAGAACAGAGAGGCTCATGCGCGAGAGCAGCACGTTGACCGCGACGCGGGCACCGGCCTCGCGGCAGATGCGGGTGACGGCACGTTCGATGGGCGCGGCATGTGCGCAGAGCACACCTGTGTTAACTAGCACATGCACCACACTGATCAGTCGCCCCGCTGTTCCGGAGGAGCTGGGCTGCCTGGGAAGCGGCGAGGATGCTGGGTGGTTGTGGGCGGGCCTCGCCACGGCCCAAGCGCAACAGGAGCTGCGCCCGGTGGAGCCTTAGGTCAGCAAGGGCCGAGCCTGCCGCCACCAGGGTTCTGAGGCAATGCATGTGCAACCGGGGCTGCTGTAAAATCAGAAGTGTCCGCCGGTGGGAGGACACGGAGGACATAATTGCTCGAAGAGCGACGGGAAGGGGGGGGAGAGCGGGACCGCCGGAGCGGCTGCCCGAGCCCCCGTGGGTGGAGGTGCCAAGGCAACCTGCCCGCCCAACCGAAGCCAAGCGGCCACGGACAAGCTCACGTGCGAGCCGTCCGTGGCACCAGTGACCTCGACCCCTGGAGGGTGGCCGGTTCCATGAAGGGTGCGGAGCGCGACCGGCGGGCGCGCTTAAGCCAAAATCTCTTGAGCCAAAATGGCGCCACTTTGATCTTTTTTCTAAGGACGGTGGGTTATTTTATTAAAAGCGCGTCAACATTAATGGGTGTTTCTAGCCATGGGGCATCCCCATCGCACCATGGGGTTCAATACTAAGCCATGGTCGAATGACTTGGATGATGCCAGGGAACCCCCAAAGTGGCCAAGCTCTCGCCCAAGTCCACCGATTCCAACAAGGCGACGGCTGCCTCAGGTTTAAGGTCAAATCCACCAGAAACCTCCATGGTTTGTGGGGTAAAACTGACCAATTCTATGGGAAAACGTCGATTTTTGGAATATGTCGTCTTATAGGTAAAAGAACAAGAATAAAACGCATGTGTGATGTGTGTGGATCTAAAAAATGTATGCAGAACACATTTCGAGTGGACCATAATGTTTTTACCTTTTTCCTATCCTGACTATATATGGTTGGTTGAGCCATTCGACTTCGGGGTGAACCCCCCAATGACTGTCGGTGAAATGCTGGTTCTGGTTGGCTCAATCCTGTCAACCTGACACTGCCAATGTGATTGCCATCTCCAAAAACGCTTACCGGTTACCAGGTACCAGCTGATGATGCACAATCACTCAAATGACTCTTTCCTTGGAGTTGCAGCTGCCCAGTGATTGAGTTGGCCAAAATTTAAGGATCGTCTCAATGTGGCCAGGTGGAATGAACAGAAAAAAAGAATTGGCCGGCCAACTCGTCATCTGCTCGGCCTCAACCACTCCATCCCCAGATGAAATACCCCGGCAATAATGAACCCCAAATTCCCAAATCCTGACATGGCGAAAGTTAGGCTTTTGGATCATAGGGGTGACATCTATATTATATCAGGGGGGCGGGATTGTCACACAAAAATGTCAATTGAACAAAAAGACACCGTAATATAATTAATGTAATATAGCACCCAAAAAGATATAGAAAAGCCATGTCATGTACGTCTTTATTTCAGGTTCGGAACTTGTCTGCATCTTTTTGGGCCTACCATCATTGAACATTAATATCATTATCTAAGGGAGAAAACAAACTCAGTCGGGCTCACCAGAGACCAGCTGAAAACCTGGGCACCCCAGCTACTGCTGCAGCCACGGTATCCTTGAGGGACATCTTCGAAGGCAGTGGTGAGCCTCGTGTTCGTTTCGATGGCTCTGTGGAACCGAGAACTCTGGTTGGTTTTTTGGGGGATTCCCCGTTCTTTGGATTATTCCTGCAGAAAGGCATACCCTGTTTTTCATACTTTGGTAGATTTGTACATTTAATTCAGACATGTTGCACCAATTGACATGTCACTGAGCCCTTTTACCAACTGCAGTCGACGTAGCTGCCCTTTTGAAGCTCTGCCGGTGAAAACAGAGAAGGCGGCCGCTTGCTACGTGGACGAGGTGCGGAGGACTGAAGGTTGGGGACCTGGCCATTTCCAGGTTATGAGCCCATGCGGTTCACTGGGCAGATGAGTGAGTTCCATAGGAGAAGGGCCACCAAAGAAGAGATGGAGCAGGGTCAAAAGGAGATAAGACTAGCTGATGAAAGAATGAAAACAGAGGCTGAGAGTAGGGGTGAGATGCCTATACAAAACGGACCTGAAGAAAAACCTGAGGATGTTGTAGAAGGGGAAACGTCTCCACCGAAAGAGGGTAAGAGAGATGAACCTCAAAGAGGTACCCCTGCAAGGAATTCCAATCAGGGTTCAGGTGCCAAAGCGTTGTTGCCGCCTACACAACCTCCTCCTGATCCTCCTGCCCTTTCTCTACGTCAAGAGGTGGTGAACTCCCTTGAGAAGAATACGCCCGCCGACAAGGGTGAAGGCAACTTCAATGGTGGACCTTTGATGAGGGAGATTGCAACTCCCCCTGAACAACAAGCAGGAGATGATGCAAACCAAGTGCAAGGGCAATCCATGGCACCCCCGTTGTTCACCGAGGAGCAGCTGAGAAACTTTGCTGCACTGCAGGGACAAGCCGCATGGATGTATGGGCCCCAACAGTCGTTTTTCAATCCAATTGGTTTTTCACGTCCTTCATTTTTGGATGGAGATGCAGCCAGAGCTTCAGTGAGTCAACATGAAAGAGACATGGAGTTTCTGAGAATGCAAGCAGTGAGAGACCGAGAGGAGAAAGACGAATGTAGAAGGCAGATTCAACTGTTGGTAGAAGAGAACCGTCAGTTGAGAGCCAGGTTTGAAAGTGCTAGCAAGATGCAGACTGAGGATGAACCTAGGTTTGCGACTCCTGAGGAACAGCCGGATCAGACCAGCCCAGGTTTCGACATGGATGTGGATTGGTTGAAGCGGCGAAAGGAGGCTGACAGACCCCCATCAAAGGAGGCTGACAGACCCCCATCAAAGGAGGCTGACAGACCTCCATCAAAGGAGGCCGACAGACCCCCATCAAAGGAGGCTGCCAGACCCCCATTCCTACCTGAGGCTGCAGAGTTCAAAACCCCCAAGGAGGCTGCCAGACCCCCAAAGGTGGAAGCATCACAGCGTCCCCAAGAAGAAGGAAGCCGAGGTGCACCTGGTGGAGGGAATGCGCAGTTCACTGAGAAATCTTTGGAGTTCATGGTGATTATGATGGAAACTATGAAGGACCTACACAAGAAGGTCAACGAGACAAAGGATGAGACTGGCATGGTTCGAGGAGTTGAGATTGTGAGGTCCGGCACTCCTGACCTGCCGGTGTTGACCCCCTGGTCACCAAGCCAGGGTCCCCTCCAGTTGGGAGATTGGCTTCTGACTGTGGAGCCGATCATAGCTGATTTGTCAGCAACTTCAGAAGTGTGGTGGTCGCTGATGGTGAAGTCTGCAGAGCAGTGGTACCAGAAGCACATGATGATGCCCCCACTAGATCGAGTTCAACATGAAGTTCAACCGCCCCCAGAGGTCACCTTGGAAAAATGGTCCAGGTTGGAAAGAAGAACGGCATCGATGCTGCTTCAATCTGTGCCGGAGGTGGTCAAGGAGGAGTTGGTTTCAGCTCGACGGCTGAGCGTTTTTGGGATTTTGACGCAACTGCTGTTGACGTATTGCCCAGGTGGTGTCTTGGAGAAGCAGACATTGCTGAGAAGTTTGGAGGAGCCAACAGAGGTCACCACGGTGGGCGAGGCTCCTGCTGCAATACGTCGGTGGCTACGTTGGAAGCTGCGGTCCCAGGAGATCGGTGCAGTGACCCCAGACCCGGCACTGTTGTTGAAAGGTCTGAACAAGTTAACACGCCGAGTCCTGGAGTCCAACAAAGAACTACAATTCAGGGTCAGCCTGGCCCGAAATTCCCTTGGTGTGGATACGAGGCCGACCGACACCACAGTCAGCCAGTTTGCCACGCACCTTTTGGCTGAGATCGAACAAGTTGCTCTTTCCGAAAAGAGGGCCACTGCTGCGATGCCAAAGGGCGAGGTGAAGATCAAATACTTGGACGCAGACAAGAACAAGCCAAAGACTAAAGAGAGGTCTACAGAGGAGGACAAGCCGAAGCCAAAATGCAGGTTTTTTCTCACGGATGCTGGTTGCAAAAGGGGAAAGGAGTGCACGTTTAGCCATGATGTCAAAGATGATCGTCGCAGGTGTTACAACTGCGGCAGTGTGGACCACCTTTCACCAAGCTGCACCAGGTCAAAAGGCGCTTCTACCGAAACAAGCCCCAACAAGCCAAGGGTTGCCAAGGCCGAGGGGGAGGAGCGCAATGTGACTTCACCAATGAAGGAGTCAGAGACTGGAAGCCAGTCTAGTCAAGGGGAGGCAGTGAAGGACTTGCTGGAGGAGGCCAACCGGATGTTGAAGTCTCTGTCGAGCTCTTCCAACACTACTGCTTCTACAACCTCTTCGACGTCTGAAGAAGAGCGAAAAGATGTGATGGAGCGCCTTCATCAGCAGTTGAAGTCGATGAAGACGTTCAAGATGAAGAGACTCAATGTTGGGAATGATGTTGGACTTGTGGATTCAGGTGCAACACATCCACTTCGTCCTAGACATGAAGGCGAGAATGTTGATTTGTACCCAGTGGTGGAGGTGGCATTGGCAGATGGAAGGACGGTGAGGTTGAAGATGTCCCCTGGAGGTGCTATGATATCACCTTCACCTGCCATCGAGCCTATCATCCCTATGGGCTTGTTGTCGCAGAAGCTGAACTGTGACATTTCCTGGAAGCAAGGATCTATGCAGATCCACCATCCTCTGAGAGGAGAAATCAAGGTGATGATGAAGGGAAGTTGCCCCCATGTCGCCAGATCTGAGGCTTTGACGTTGATTGCGGAGCTGGAGGACATCAAGATGGGCATTCCCAATGAGATTGGAAGTTTTGATGCGGAAGTGGCATGGCTGAGAAAGCTGGTGTCGCAACATCCAGTGCTGTCTTCACTCCCAGAGCACATCAAGGAGCGGCTGGTGGTGGAGCCTGGAACTTGGTCTGATCTTCCAGGCAACAGACACTCAAGAAAGCGCTGGAAGAGGAGTGGCTTAGCAGTTCATTTGTATGCTGGGCCAGAAACAGGGTTCACTTTGCGGCATGCCATCAAACAGCTGGGTGGTTCTGTCGATGCCTTGTTGGAAGTTGATGTTCAACGAGGAGAATTACATGACATGCTGTCGGACCACGCAGTTTATCGTGGTCTGTTGAGGGTGGCTTTGGAGGGAAAGATCAATGCGATCGTTGGTGGGCCAAACTGCAGGACGAGAAGCTTGCTGAGGCACATCCCCATTCCAGGGCAGCCTAGTGCCCCGAGGCCGATTCGCCGCTGGGGAGGTGAGGAGTTTGGTATTCATGATGCAACAGACGAGGAGAAACAGAAGCTTCATGAAGACGATGTTTCGATGTGGCGTTTTTGGTTTTTGTACATGGTTGCAGTGTACATGAGAAGGGCCAGAAAGGTTGAGACCGAAGTGACCGTCTCTGTGGAGCAGCCAGCAACCCCCAAGGAGTTCATGCCGGAGGTGGTGAGTTGGTGGGATACAAAAGAATGGGCAGAGCTGGCACGAGAGTTCAGCTTTGAGGAATCAACTTTCAAGCAGGGTGAGCTTGGTGGTCTGACCCCGAAGCCAACGACGTTTGGTGGGAACTTGGAGCTCTACGCAGCTGGTCATCAAAGGAGATGCAGAGCAGGAGAAAGGGTATCTTGCTCGTCCCAGCTTTCGAGATGGGCCCCAGGAGTGATGTCAATGGTCGCCTCAGCTTTGATCAGACAGGTTGAGGGCCCCATTTTTAAAGGGAAAGCTATGTCCTGGAGCGAGCATTTGGCTTTCAGGCATGT